CCTGGCTTCAGGAATTCTGTGGCTCGAGCTGGGCCTGCCTACACGTGTGTGCGGGGAGGCTCGACCCCGCAGGGCTGAAGGCCCAGGAACAAGAGCCCGGACCGCCTCCCCACCGTGCCTGGAGTCTGTCCCACCCGGCGCTGTCTTCTCAAATGTGCGGCAGCGTGAGCTCTTGTGGGACCACCGCAAATTCTCAGAGACGAGGCGAGCACAAAGAGCTTCCCAGGCCCAGTTCCCTGGGAGCAGCTGCTCACCAGAACCGGCACCCGACACCACTGTCCCGCGTAGGGTTCCGAGTAGACCACCAGGCGGGCTCAGCACGGCTCTACCGCATAGCACCCACCCTGAAGCACCACCCGCCTGAGGCCACTGTGCCTCCCCAGGGGGACGCCAAGTGCTTGTGAGGCCAGAGGTTGCAGCCACTCTCACAGGACGGCCCCGCTCCTGGCCTACTACTGCCCAGGGGCCACGCACTGTCCTGCAGGGCCTCCCTCGCCGCCTCCCAGCAGGTGGGCTCCTCTCCTCGCTGCTCACAGATAGCGCCCTGGGGAGAGCCTGGCAATGCCCCGGGAGCTGGTGTCCTGGGACTTGTACCTGCAGCGGCACAGACCCCCTGCACCCAGCCACCAGCTCTGGCTCACGTATGGACACTGCGGAGCTCAGGGCCCCATCACCCAACGGCTCATCTCCACGTCTACGCTGCAGGAGAGCCCCGTGGGAGGGAGGCCACGCAGTGACCTGTGTCCTGGCACTCTGACACAGGAGCCTGGCCCCTCCTGGCCCCTCACCCCAGCCCTGGAACAGGTCCTCGTAGGACCCCTGTCCTTGCAGTGGAAATGGCTTTTAGAAGCCAAGACCTGAGTGGGGTGGGGGCACTGGCTGTGGAGGTGCCGCTGCTCCGGCTCCATGTGGACAGAGGTGGGAACTCAGTGGCGCCCGGCCGTGCCCGCACCTCCATCATCAGAGTCATGCCTGCGTCCAGGCCACTCCCTTTGCTTGTCCCCTGCCCAAGAGCTAGCAGAGCAGCCACACCTGCTCTCGGAGCTGTGCCGCACCCGGTCCCCTCCCGCCCCACGCAGGGTGTCCTCTGTGCAGGCTGCCCGGATGCTCTTCACCCCGCTCTGCCGAGCTGGACGGCCTGAGAGTGAAGTGCAGCAAGAGGAAGGCCTACACAGAGACTTCCGGACGTGCGCACACAGCCCAGTGCCTGACCGTGACACAGGACCCGCTGCAGCCCGAGAATCTCCCTGCCTGATGGGGACCGAGCGCTCGGACAGCATTTCTGAGCATTTTTTCTTTCTTTTTACATTTGCTAAAGAGTGTTGTGCACTCACCAGAGAGAGAAGACGGTGGGAAAGTAAGAAACCACCCCGGGAGATGGCCAGGCCACATCCCTTCTCCGTTCTCTCCTTAGGATCCTGGACACGCGCGCATAGGCGCTCCATCTGATTCTCAAGCTGCAGAGTCCAAGACTCAACCCGCGCAGTCAGCCACGTCAGCTCCAGCCCCTCAACTTCCAGGCCCCCTGCTGGCCACCTCTGTGTTGCCAGAGGCATGCGTGCCCACAGGGAGAGGAGGAAGCCCACCCCCGGGAACTGGGCCACTGCAAGCCCTTCTCCTTTTCCTCTGTCCGCCTGCATCCGGTGCAGGACTCGAACCACAGTCAGCTGCATGGGACCCAGCTCCCATAACTATGAGGCCCCGGGCAGGCCCGAGCGAGTGGAAGCTGCGCCACGTGCAAGAAAACCCTGTACCCTGCCGGCACGATGGATGGGGAACGCGCCCTGGGACCGCGAAGTGAACGCTGCACATCCGTGCACCAGCTGGCTGGGCGTCCTGTCACCTAAACCAAGTGACCCCAACTACGCCCATGCGTACAGATGGCAGGCGAGACCACGCACAGAGGAGTCTCCAAGCTCCTGGCGCCGCGGGAAGACCTTCAAGCAGGCAGAGCCCAGGCCCGGTGCCTCCATCGGGCACTCCTCCCGACACCGCTCGCTCCTTACCGAAACGAACCTCCCCCGGGCTCCTTGAGCTTGTTCTTCTGCGCAGCAGCAGCTTGGGCCGAGACGGCGGACAGGGCTTTGGTTCCAGGCAGCACAGCGGGCTTCACCACGGGGACTGTGGGGCGACACAGAGCACCCACGTGGGGCCGTCATCAGACACCCTGCCTGGCCACCGTGGGGCAAACACAGAGCAGCCACGTGAGGCTGTCATCAGACACCCTGCCTGGCCACCGTGAGGGCCTGAGGGAAACCACCTCTCCAAGCTCTTAAAACTGCTCAGATTGAGACCAGCAGTTAGGATAATGACTCTGTCGCTGGACTCCCATGTAGTCAACTGCGGTTGGAGTCCCGGACCTGGTGGCTTAAACTCACGCTGGGCGCACGTGTGTGCGTGCCCAAGATTCCGAGAGGAGGATGGAGGAGAAGGGATTTCGGTGGGCGTGGCCATCCCCCCAAGGGGTGATTTCTCGTTTTCTGTCTCTCTGTCTCTGTCTTTCTAGTGAGTGCACACACCCTATAGCAAAAACCTCTCCAAAAAAACCTGCTCAGATTAATAACTCAAAAGCACACTTGAAAGTACGTGCTGCACCCTCAGCTCTTCCTACAGGGCACATGCACTTCGAGACACAGGAAGAAAGCAGCCCCGGGGGCGAGCCCCCGCAACCCCTTCTCCAGCCTCCTTCCAGGGTTTTGGGCACACATGCACACGCCTGGAGTCTCTCAAGCTGCTGGGTCCAGGGCTCAGGTCACACGGTCAGCCACGTGAGATCTGGCTGCCTTAACCTCCAGCACCTCCTGTAGTTCATCCAACTTTAAATGCAGGAATGATTACCAAGAAAGAGACTAACAGCGATAATACACCTATAGTTTTAAAAATCATACTGAGCACGCCATGGCTACACACTGTGACTTAATACCACTCAATTACGCACTTAAAATAGTGAAAACAGCAAGCCTTAGGTTACGTATATTTGCCCACACTAAAAGCAAGCTCGGAAGCCCACGGCAAGGACAGGTAGGTCTGACTGGGAGCGGCGTAGTGTGGCTGTCCCTCGGGGGCACTCACCTGGCTGCAGCTGATTCAGCTGGATCTGCTGTGGCGTGGTGAGCATGATCCGGCTGGGAGGCTGCCGCAGCGCGACCATGGGCGTCTGTGTTAACGTCACCTGCGGGGGCCGGATCAGGGCGCCTGGCTTCGGGGGCTGCTGGATCACCTGAGGCAGAGATGCAGGGACCGCGGGCCTGAGAGCTGCCGGGCCCCTCCTCACGTACACACCCCTTCCCACCCCCCGCGAGAAGCTCCAGAAAGATCCCCTGTCCCCACTGGCCCAGGGCAGGGAAACAGCCTGGCCCCAACGAGCCCTGGGAGGGCTCCTCTGGGCCAGCGCAGGGTCAGAGGGCGGGCCCCGTGTCGCACGCCAGGATGCAGCGAGCACGCTGGCGGCTGTGCTCCCCAGAGGGCACACTGACCAGGCCTGGGGTAGGGTCCCTGCAGTAAAGCAGAGAACACAGCGCTTGGCACCTAGTGCAGACAGCACCCCCAAGCAGGTGAGGAAAGCCAGCCCACCGCTCGGAGCCAGAGCGCTCTCCTCTTCCCCATCTCTTCAGGAAGGCCAGGTGCTGTTTACACTGCAGTGGGGGCACCTCCCTCCTGCTGA